TGTATAAGCTTAAATCCACTTTTTGCTTATAGGTGGCATTATGAGCGTACAAAGATACCCTGGGCACACAACACACTTTTTTTATGTGTTTGACATCTGTCAACATTACCAGCACATCATCAGCAATTTCATACAACAACATACATTTTTTCTTTCGTAACCATGTCTAGTTTTTTGCTAAAAGAAAAGCATATGCAGAATGCTTTGCTTTTCTGTTTCAATTTGAAGAAATCGGCTGCCGAATCGCATCGAATGCCTGTGGAGGCCTATGGCGAAAATGCTTTATCGGAAATAACGTGCAGAGATTGATTTCACCGGTTGAATGACGACAATTTTGACCTGACACAGGTCAGTGACAAGAAGTGTGAAAATCGGCCAAGAAGATTGAGGACTGTCAATTGCAGACTCTTTTGGACGAGGACGATACCTAATCGCAAAAAATGCTTGCTGAGCAATTGAGTGTTTCTCAAGCAGCCATTTCCATGCGGCTACATGCCATAGGGAAGGTTCAAAAGATTGAAAAATGGGTGCCGCATGAACTGAACGATAGGCCGATGGAGTGACGCCAAAAACACATGCCAAATTCTGCTTGCCAGACAAAAAAGAAAGTCATTCCTGCATCGGATTGTGACAGGCGATGAAAAGTGGATCTATTTTCAGAATCCTAAACGCAAGAAATCTTGGGTTGATCCCGTCCAATCATCAACATCTTCCTCAAGACCAAATCGCTTCGGACGAAAGACGATGCTGTGCGTTTGGTAGGATCAGGAGGGTGTCATCTACTACGAGCTGTTAAAACCTGATGAAACTGTCAATGCTCACCACCAACAACTGATCAAATTGCACCGTGCTCTGCGTGAAAAAAGGCCGCATTATCAGAAAAGACATGACAAGCTGAATTTCCTCCACGACAACGCACCATCGCACACGTCAACAATGATCCAAAACTACTTGGAGACACTCAACTGGGAAGTGCTACCCCATCCCGCTTACTCACCAGACTTGGCACCTTTTGACTATCACCTGTTTTCGTCGATAGATCACGCGCTCGCTGAGCGGCACTTCGATTCTTACGAAGACGTCCGAAAATGGCTTGATAAGTGATTTGCCTCGAAAGATGAGGAATTTTTTTGGCGTGGTATACACAAATTGCCCAAAAGATGGGAAAAATGTATAGTTAACGAGGGCAAGTACTTCAAATAAATTTGTTTTTGCTTCCTAGGAAAAAAAATGTATTTTTCTGACTAAAAAACAGCGGATTTAAGCTTATACACTCTTATATATATATATATATATATATATATATATAGATGTGTATTTTTTACTCTAATAAATTTTTTAATACCAAATATTATAATTACTGGAAGTAGTTTTATGTTACGTCATATATCGTCATATACTATTGGGTCCTATGGTTGTCCGGAAAGTTCGTGCCGATTTTGAAAGAAAATTGAAACGCAGAAGATTTAAATTTTAGTATACATTTATTAAATTTAAATCTTTTGCGGCACGAACTTTCCGGACAACCCAATACTACAATAGTAACACTATTGCATTGACACTATTGTGTATCAGTAGTAATACTACACTAGTAATATTTTTATACTTCCAAATGATATTGGAAACTTGTATGATAGATCAACATTTAAATTTCATTAATTTAAAAATCGAGATCGTATCGATATCGATTCAAACTAGAATTAGTTTAACTAGACTATAGAGTCGATGATATTTTTCCTTGATTTTGTGCTCATTCATGGTAAGAGACTGCTAATAGATTGTCAGCATTTATGGTAAAAGACATTATTTCCTGAAATTCCTCAATACAAAAATGAGTAATAAGATTATATTAAATAAATTACAAAGTACAAATAAAAGTAATGTTATTCAGCAGGAGTAGAACAATAAAATAAGATACAAAGAATTATTAGAAGAAAAGATGTAAACTTTATCGACGATTGTAAAAAACATTCCGATTCATATAAAAAAATTCCACAATATTCTAAAAAGTTATAAAATTATCTATAAATTCTGAAAAATTTTGAGAAAGCTTTTATTAGAGCGATATTGCAATTGTCGAAATGAAAGCGAAAAAAATGTCGATTCGATATTTGAATGAAAATATTCAAAATATAAGATTACGTATCACAAATTTATACCAAAAATGTTAAAAATATATCAAACTCTTATTGTACTCTCTACATACGTAATTTTTTATCATTAGAAAATATTGAAATTTCGTTGCAAGTTTCGAATCGATAACTTTTCCATCATAACGATGTTGAAACGACGTCTTTCGAGAAATTATTTCTGACTAGGATATTAGGGAATTCGTGTGAAGTTGGACCACCAACTTTTGAGAAAATTAATTTTCAATAGCTCATTCGATTGCTTATCGTTTGTTTACATTTAGGCATACTTTAAATTTTCGTTTGCACACTTCAAGTAAGAAAGTTATTTAAAAAAAAAACAATTTTGGGGAGGGCTAACTTCACTAGCCCTCCAACTTCGAGCAAACTAGTTCGAAAAGATTTTAATCGATAGATTTTCGTTTGCATTCCGAAACTAGTTGATTTTTCATTTGCACACTTTTAGTTAAAAAGTTATTAACATTTAAAGTTTCGAGAAGGGTCTAAAGCGGAAAATAGGTTCAAATCGCACCTACTATGCTCAAAATGTATGAATCGATTTCGTTTGCATATTACGAAACAGGACGATTTTTGTTTGCACATCTTTGGTTAAAAAGTTATTAACATTTAAAGTTTTGATAAGAATCGAAAGTAGCAAATATGTTTACCCCAATGCGGAGGAATTTTAATTTTTTTTTTATTTTATATTCTGGAAGTACTTGTCATGATCGGCATTCATCTGGTGTCGTTGGCCCGCTAGCGGCGTTATTTGGAACTAAAATTTTTTTTTTACGGAATCGTCAAGTACCAATTCGCGCTCATCCGTTGGTCCCGTCT